GGGCTCTATGAGGAGAATTGTGGCATCAGGATTGGTGGAAGGTCTATTAACAATCTGCGTTACGCAGATGACACAACCCTGCTTGCTGAAACTGAGGAGGACCTCATGCACTTGCTGTGAAGGGTCAAGGACTGCAGCCTTCAGTATGGACTAAGGCTCAATGTCAAGAAGACAAAGATTCTTGCCACTGGACCAACTGGCAGCATCAGGATGGATGACAAAGAGATTGAGAGTGTTCACAGCTTCAGTTTGCTCGGCTCCACAGTCAACACTCTTGGCACCAGCAGTCAGGAAATCAAAAAGCGTATCCCGATGGGAAAGTCTGCTGTTAGGGACCTCTCTAAGGTACTCAGGAGCAACAGTGTCTCTCTGGAGACTAAGGTGCGTCTGATACAGGCCATGGTCTTTGCAATCGCTTGTTATGCATCAGAGTTGGACAATGACTAGGGAGGACAGAAGGAGAGTGGATGCTTTTGAGCTGTGGTGCTGGAGAAGGGTACTGAATGTACCCTGGACTGCCAGGAAAACAAACAGATTTATCTTGGAGAGGATTAAACCAAGCTACTCCTTGGAGGCAAGGATTCTGGGGCTTCGTCTGACATACTTTGGACATGTTGCCAGGAGGGACGGGTTCTTGGAGAGGGACATCATGCTTGGGAGGGTGGAGGGACAACGCAGGAGGGGAAGACCCTCTATGAGGTGGATTGATTCGGTGACTGGGGTAATCGGGATGGGTGTGTCAGAGGCGGTGCGGTTGGCGCAGGATAGAGCAGGGTTTAGGGCTGTTGTGCATAGGGTCGCTATGAGTCGGAAACGACTCGACAGCACATAACAACAACAACAACAACTATCTCTCTATGAGAGGAGTACAAAAACCAGTCTATTTTTCTCTCCTACATACCTACAAGAGAAAGCCTGTGAATGATTCGTTTCAGATAAGTATTTCCTGAAATTCCAGTCTTGATTCTTTTTTATTAACTATATCTGAAGGAAAGTGAAACTTACGAGTTCTTTAGTGAAACATTTAGCATTCTTTCTCTTACTGCCTCAGTCATGAACATCTCTGATATGACCTATGGGGCGGTCACATGGAACCCTAGCATTTGTCTCATTTACATCATCATTTTCTGCATCATACTGACAGCAGGAACAATATGTGATCTGAAATTATATGAGTACCTGGGCAATAATTTGTTTTCATATTCTAGTTATTATTCACTGATTGATGGACTAAATGAGTACATGTTTAACAGACTCACACTGTAGTTCAGAAATAAACATGTTTCCTATTTGTCTAATAGACATGATGCTGTTTCTAAAGTTCCAGAATCTTCTTCTCCCTTCTTCATAATCTATCTTCTTCTTTCTGGATCTATAAATTAGATTAACAAAAGACATCTCAGCAACCTAAGAATAAAAATTAAGACATATTAGGCAGGGAAACCCAAAGGAGGAATCTTCCATTAATTTATTTTTTAACATATAAGTGATGCCAAGAAAAAATCTTTACCTCTCTAATCAATCCCCAGAGAATAGGTAAAAGGAAGCTGACTAATCCACAACGCATATTAGAAAGGACCTTCTCTTTGGCCAACTTACTCCCATAGTGTATTTTCATGGCTCTACTTGCTAATTGGGAAAATAATGGACAAGAATTGGGCAAAATGTGGTAATTGGCTCCCTATGGAGATGAATAAAGAAATCTTGATAATACAGAAGTTAAAGAGCTCAGTTGATAACTAAAAAGTTGGTAGTTTGAACCCATGAGCTGTTCCACTGGGAAAGCTGGGTTAGCTTATTTCTGAAAAGACTTACAGCCTTGGGAATCCTAGGGGGCAGTTTTTCTCTGGCCTATAGTTTCACTATTAGTAAGACTCAACTCGGCAGCAGTGGGCTTGGAGATGAATATCTCCAATTACCAACTCAGGCTTTAAGACCATGGGTAATGTAAAATACAAAGTCTATTGGTGATTTTTCTTGAGGCAATTGCTAAATTGTTGATGGAGAAAATGATCAGGTAATATTGTTCTGTGGAGTAATATAGAGAATTTTATGACTCCAGTCCAGGGAGTTACTGGAAAATTAAGGCAAGGGAGGTAATTTTTGGCAAGTTTACTTGGAAATCATTACAGAACAGTTTGAGTGTCAGGATGCTTATTTGGTACTGCGCACTACTAGCACTCTGATCTAAAGGAATGGAAAACTTTTATTTACGTGTGTAAATTTTTATTTGCTTCTTGAGAAGGAAGATGGAAATTTATTGTGTTATTTGTGTGTTGAATTTTAAAGTGTTAGGTTTTCCCATGATTTATAATTTGCACCCTTCTTGTACTTCCTATGTGATCTGTATTTGAGAACTTACACAAAACAACAAAAAGTTTTCCTAAGTATTTAGTGGAAAATAGGGAATGTAATGAAATGACGAAGACAATTTTCATATGGATGAAAATATAAGAGTCCAGAAAGAGGGAAGGCCATATGATAAATTTTTCTTTTTTACAGGGAGGACATAATATTCATTTTAGAAGGGAACAAAGGAAACTATATCAAGTATAGAGAATGGAGGGGGAATATAGAAAGTGTTTTGACTTAGGAAATAGCATAGTGCTGAATAGGCGATCTTAACTTCACTAAAAGGAACTAAGTGGAGTTATTAATTAATCAAATGACTATTATGTTTATTGTTTTAGAATTTCTTTATCATTTAAGAACTGGGTTGTATACTTAAAACACAAAGTAGGACATGGTATAATCTTCATCCTTGAGGTTCACAAGTCTATTGAGAGGATGAGCATGGGAAATAATTTTAATTTAGCATGCATTTTTGTTTAAAAATACACAAAGCAAACTTTAGAAATACTAAAAGACAAGAATATCCTCTAGACAGTTTAGAGTTCAACAGCAAACTCTCTATAGGAAGATTAAAGAAGAAAAAAAATTAAACCACAAACTGTCTTGGACAAATTAGCAAAAAAATGCAACAATTTGTGATTTTAAGAAACTGAAGGATGGTTTTCCCACAGAAAATAAAAGGATATTGAAGGCTAACCTTGCTCCCTCTCCCTCTCTTTTTCTCCCTCTCCCTCCTCTTCAATTTGAAACATAAATGCGCACCTAAAGATCTGTAAGTATTTCTGTGCAATGTCTGTGTGATGATGGTTCGATTGTACGTTAGTTAATGGCTGAGGTTTTGGATACTATAAAATTTATTTTAAGGTTTTGTTGCTTGGGTTTTTTTTTTTTTTACATTTAGGTGTTAAGATGCCATAGAAGAGGATAATGAATAAATAGTTTACCTTTTCCATTTGTTAGATAGAAAATGAAATTACTTTTTTTTGCCTTTTGTTTTCTTTTATATCTCTAGCTTTCTGTAAATATATGATGTTGTCACATTCAAGTCTTAGCATTCTTTCATATTTCCAAATACTTTATACAATGTCATCAGCTGGGTTGAGTGGAACTCAAATTTTCAGTTGTGAGTTTTATTTTTATGCCTTAGTTTCCATATAATTTTCATGGATAAGTTAGAGTAAGTAATGTTGCTTTATTCTTTTCAGAAACTCCATTTTTTTTTTCATTTTTGCTACCTATCCATAATCCATTGGGGATCATCTTATAACGGAGAAGATATCAAAAAGGAGAGATCAAAAAGTGGAGAGGTAAAAGAATTGTGTCTCAGGAAGAGTACTGGTGGGTCTAGTCAAGTAGCAGGCTGCGCATTCCTTATTTATAAGTTTTCTAGATGAAACAAATAAGAGAATTTTTAAATTTAAAATGAAACTATGATTTTAGTCTCATTTAGAAGCTCTGTAAAGATTTTTTCTAGACAAATGTCTGATTAAGAGACAGGGAACAAAAGTCTGTGCAATACAAAACTATATTCACGTGAGGAATAGCATGAGTAGGACTGGTGTTTGAGTGGAAAACAAATGAATGCTGAAGCAAAAACTAAACTTTTCAGCATAATTCTCTGTCGATTGTCTCATGTTATACAAAATCTAGAGAGCATAATCTAACTCAGTCTCATGAGGACAAATACTGCACAAAATGATTATTGTTTAAATGAAGGATAACTAGTATAGATGTATAAAAAAGTCTAAAAGAGGAAGGCGTAAGGGCCACAGAGGCCGGGATAGAGGGAGGATAAGAGTATGGTGAGAAGGGACAGGCTGCGTGAAGGAATTAGGAACGATCTAGGGGGGGATCTAAAAAAGAAGGGGTAACAGTAGATGTAGAAAAATGATTAATTTTTTAAAATACAATACACATGAATGTTCATTTGAAATACAATGTGAATGTAGGAGTGAAACATAATGTATATGAATGATAACCAAGGTTATAAATGTATGCAAACCAATATAAAGTTAGAAAAAACTTACTCCAGCCACGTTTTTTTCTTTAAAAAATCCTTTTCCTAGTCTCTTATAAGAGTTTCTATAAGAATGATAAAAGTATTTCAAATTAATGCTATGAATAACTGAATGGAAATGAATTATACAAGTACCCATAAAAGTGAACCATATTGGTTAAGGGCACATAAATATAAATAAATGTTGATATTTTTCCAATGGAGAATACATTGAAATAAGATAGAAGTGAGTCTTGAGATATTGATGCTATTTTTCAATGAATATAATCTTTAATTAGTAATCTAGTTAAAATCTAGAAAAAAGTAATAACAATGTCAATATGCAAATAAATAAAATATTTTTAAAGAACTGAGAATACCAGAATCTTAAGCAGAGGCTTTTGTCTTTAACAAACGTACAGGTAAGATAGGCATTATGTAAGCAAATGTCTGTACATTTCATGGGAATGTTTATCACCTTATTAATTGCTAAAAACATTGACAGCAAATTAGTATATCAATAATTTCTTATTAATCTATAGCATTTTTTCTCCTGTATTTGTTACTTATCATTCAAACTAGACTGACCCTTCTTACTTCAAAAGTCCTTACACCTAAGTACACTGACTTCATTTTATCTCGTCGATTCTCCATGGCCAATTCTTCCTTTGTCACTGAGTTCCTGTTGCTGGGTTTCTCCAGCCTTGGGGAACTACAATTTGTCCTATTTGTGGTTTTTCTCTCCCTCTATTTGATCATCCTGAGTGGAAACCTGACGATCATCTCGGTCATCCGCCTAGATTGCAATCTTCACACCCCCATGTACTTCTTTCTGTGTGTCCTTTCTGTCTCGGAGACCTTATACACAATTGTTATTCTGCCCAAGATGCTTATCAACCTATTCTCCGTACTCAGGACACTCTCCTTCATGAGCTGTGCCACCCAAATGTTCTTTTTCCTTGGTTTTGCCATCACCAACTGCCTACTCCTGGGAGTGATGGGTTATGATCGCTATGTTGCCATCTGCCAGCCTTTGCACTATCCCATTCTCATGAGTTGGAGGGTATGTGGACAACTGGCAGGTAATTCTATTATTGGTGGCTTTCTGACATCCCTTGTGGGGACAACTTTGGTGTTTAGTCTCCCTTTCTGTGGCTCCAACAAAATTGACCACTACTTTTGTGACATTTCACCTGTCATTCGTCTTGCCTGTGCTGACACTCACATTAATGAACTGATTATCTTCATTGGTGGGGCTCTTGTCCTTCTTGTGCCCTTCATCTTCATCTGCATTTCCTATGGCTTCATCGTCCGCACCATCCTGAAGATTCCGTCAGCTGAAGGCAAGCGGAAAGCCTTCTCCACCTGTGCATCTCATCTCACGGTGGTTATTGTGCACTACGGATGTGCTTCTTCTGTCTACCTGCGGCCCTCAGCCAAATACACGACAGGAAAAGACCGACTGGTGACAGTGACCTATACCATCATCACTCCATTGTTGAACCCCATGGTATACAGTCTCAGGAACAAAGATGTCCAGATAGCTATTCGGAAAATTATCGGAAAGACTGGATTTTTCCCTAAGAGATTATAAATAAAATATTTTAAAACTGTACATGCATATTTGTGACAATAAAACACATTGAGGAATTATTTTTAAATATGAATATCTTTTCTATTTGTATAATTGTGTGTTCTTGAATGAGTTGTTCGACATTGTGGAACGGAGTGTTTTCATATGTAAAGTGGGGATACGAACATATTCTTCTCAGTATTGTATATAATCAGAGCCTCTGGTAATGAAATGTCACTCTTATCCTAATCCTTCTATTTCTTCACATTTATAATCCTCAGAACCATCATCTTTTGTCTTTTGTTTGGTCTGTTTATCATCATTCTCTGCTGATCATGCTTTTTGCTAAAGTTTATGCCCAGGCTAAAATGAAGTTTTCAAACCTGAAAGTGATTTACACAACTAACACTAGGACATGCAGGGGGCAAAAGGTCACTGCATTTGTAAATGGAAAATTTAACATTAGACTCTAGTTAGGTGGTCATGTTCATACAGATACCTTTTTTTGTTAAACTCAAGTCTTAATATATGGAAATGAGATTAATATTCTTTTTATTTCCCAATCCACAGGGTTTTTATTTGAATTTAATTGATAATATTAAAGGAAAACAAATGAGCTCACTGTCCTCTCACTGATTCCAAGTTTTGGTGGTGCTGCATGGGGTTTGTGCGTGTATGTGTGTGTTTATTTACTTAAAATTTTAATAAAGGTTTATAGACTTTTAACTTCCATTAATTCTTTGTTGCACATTTTCCTCCCTGTCCACTCCTCCCCCTAGTTGGTTTTCCTCTTCGAAAAGCAAAAAAACAAACCCAAACTTTTGTTATTATATAACCCCTCGCTCCCCCTCCCCGCCCAGTTCATTCACTTAAGCAGCTCTCATTCTGGGGGTTTTGTGACTGTAAATCTTAAGGAGAGGAGAAGGCCTCCTATTTTTCCCACAGATGGCTAGTGGGTTTATGCTACTGACCTTATTTATGGTTAGCAGCCCAGCACGTAACACATTTTGGCACCAGGATTCCAAAAACAAAATAGACACATATAAAATTTAAAAGTCATATGAAGTACAAGATTCTTCTAAAATTAACTGAGGCGTTTACTATTTCTATGAGCTTATTTTATTCATGATCCTCCAGAATCGGCATTTCTGATGCCTTTTCTAATCACTTTTAGAAGCAATTCCTGATGTAGCATAGAAGGTGCGCTCCCTAAAAGTGATGGGAGGGGGGAAAAAAACAAACCCTGACTTTAGTTTTAAGAATATATTTTCATGACTTTCACACTGTATTTATTAAGAAAAAGGGAGACATGTAATCCAGTTTAATACATGTAATGCATTTTAATACCAGATTACATCATATTAGGTATGCAAGAATCACAGTGGCCTTCCTGTACTATCTCTTACCTACCTGTACAGAAATTCCTTCATAAGTATTTTTGAAGGGAAGTAATCTTTGTTTGACTGAGTAACAATAGCTTCATAAAATTTTCTTAGATCTCATCATTAGTTTCTCTCATTTTAGCTATTTACCTTTCTGTAATTTCCATCTATCCCATCTTTTATGTTACATAGAAAGTCTAATCTTATGTTACAGTTGTTTGAGATAGAATGACAATATAGACTTTCTTTTCCATTGTTTATGTGACCTGAATTTTAGAAAATTCATTTTCTAGGATGCAGTTTCTAGAATCAGCTACGACAGGTCAATCTCAAGGGAACTCTTTTAAGTCAGGAGTTGTGTTCATAACCCAAAGGCACACACGTCTCTTATGGTTCAAATCCACCAGTACTTCTGCAGAAGAAATGTGGGCAATCTCTTCCTATCCAATTTACAGCCTTGAAAACCCACGGGAGGATCAGCTGTGAGTCAGAACTGATTCATTGGCAATGTGTGTGTTTATGTGGAGAGAGAGAGAGACTGGCAGAGACAGAGACAGGAAGACAAAATAAATCTCACTTTAAACAGTAATACATGAAACTGAAGTCATGTGTAATGTGACCTGTTCTCAGGTTAAAATATAGTTAAACTCTTCCTCATTAACTATATTTATATTTCTAGTTAAAATGTATATGATTATAAATAATACTTGCTTATATTTTAAATCACTACTACCCCTGTTGCTATCATTGCTATTTTACAAATATTTTTTTAAAAATTATCTTATGACTGGTTAAATAGTAGTAACTATTAAACTACTTAGCTGTTAAAATTCTGGTGGGCTAGTCCATAAAAAGCTGTGCTGCTAAATCGAAAGCTCCACCTCTCTGGTGGCTCTAATCCACCAGTGGCTCAGCAGGAGAAAAACAGGCAAACCCCTCCCGTGGGATTCACAACCTTGGCAACCCAGCAGAGGATCAGCTACGAGTTGATTCTGATCCTATGGCAATTAGTTGAATTGTAGTTGAACAGTGAAGATGTGGAGCACTGTACTAACTCTGTTCTAATATTTTCCATTCTCATTTTTTATCCTAGCAAGTTTGAAATATTCTGTAGTTGCTATGTGCCGTCAAGTTGCCTGTGACCCATAGCAAGTCTATATACAGAAGCTCTGAATCCTGCCTTGTCCTGAGCCAGTCTCACTAACTCTGACCCACTAACCCCCATTGCCCCAGTACTAATTAATTTTCTAAAGAAATAAGGTAATTACTACATATCTTTTCTTGATGATTCTGTTACACATGTCTAGTTTTCTTTTGCGTTAATTTAAGAATATAGTTGATATAAATTCTATTTTAGAGGAATTATTTTGAGCTTTTTTGTGATTTATTGTGTTTCTTGGCCAGTTAATATGATGAAATGCTTCCTTTGGTTTAAAAAATAATATGCATATTACTTATATTAATTTTATTAATAAAACTCTTTTAATACATTATATCATTATTTATTTTCTGTGTATCTTGCCTATCATTGTTGTTGTTCTTATGAGCCATTGAGTCAGATTTAACCCATAGCAGACCTGCAGTGAGTTTTTAGGAGCTGTAAGTCACACAGGAGATGATCTCTCTCCTCCAGGATGAGCTGGTGAATTCAAACAGTACGCCTTTGGATTGGCAGCACAGTTCTTTACCACTGTCTAATTAAAATAATTGACTGAATTATTGTTTGTTTTGCTTTTTTTAATATAATGTAGCTTTTAGTAAGTAGAGAGGAAACATTTCTTAGCTGCATGATACAAAAGTTTCAGTTGTCTCAAATTCAACAAAAACCTTTCCCATCTATGTCATAAAAGCTATTGCCCTGAGCAGAGAAACTTTCAGGGCCTCCATCTCCACACAGAGCATGTGGAAGAGGGCTTCTTCAAGGAGCTGCTTCCCAGCTGTCCTGCACATGGTCAGTTCCTCAACAGTCCCTAGAGGCAAGGACAGAGAACAAGACAGTTCTCACAGAACAACTTCACGGTCTGTCTCTTTCAGGAGTCTCTTAACAACACTTTGTTTTATAAAATCTGAGCAGAAAGCAGGGCAAGGGGCCATGGAAGCAATGCTGTAGACAGGTGGGCTGTCCTGGTTTGTGGAGTTGTGGTGGACATCAGTCCCGGTCTAGTTAGGCACTGTATGGAGAAGATGACCCATTGCCACAATGGCCTATCCAATTAGAGCTCATGAACTGTCCTGGTTTGTCTAAGAGTTCATAGGTATGAGCCCCAAAGCAGTCCCACTAGCCTGAATTAGGCTGGCCGGCAGCCTCTCATGTCTGTATCCATCCTAGAAGGAAAGCACAGTGGTGAAGCAGGGCGTGGGGATGCCCATCTAGACGACCGTGCTGATGGTCTGCTGACAGGAGTCCTGGTAGTTTTGACAGCAGATTGAAGAAATCATCTAGCAGTAGATTCTAAAGTTCTGGGTTTCTATCGAATGCATCTTTTACCTTCCCTAGGAATGCACTCAGATGAGGCAGCTGGCTCTCCACATCAGGGCAATGCCACCATGGAGAAGTGTCCAGCCAAACGCAGCAGCTGTCTGTTATAGCAGCATGCAGCCTAGAACATAAGAGATGATCCTGGAAGCATAGAGGGCCTTCCAAATTTCCTCCAAGAACACTTTCTCATCTCCTTCAAATTTGCCCTTTTGATGACTCCTCAGCTTGTTGCTAGCTTGTGTCCTCTTGTCCTTCAGTGATGATATGCACAAATTGCCTCTCCAATGAGGGTGACAAGAACACCATACTCCAGGGCAGAGACCATTTCCTGGTGCCCTATGGTCCCGCACTGCCCCTGATCTTCTGCAGCAGATGTTTGCCATCTGTATCTTGGAAATTGAGGATATCAGCTGTGATTTCAATCAAGGAGGAGTCTAGTTGTGCCTTATAGTCCATTCCTCAGATACCTTTGTCATCTCCTCATTTTCCATGCTTAGAACGTCTTTCATCAAGTGATAAGCATCACACGTGAGCTGCTTATCACCATACTCTATCCCATCATGCACCATCTTCATCAAGGGTCCTGCTCCCTCCTCTCCCACCCAGATACAGCAGAGTCCTCCAGTTCCTACCTTTGCAGCAAGGCCTTGGAAGATTGTCTTGATGTGGAGACCTGCTTCTTTATTCCCTCCAGGCATCAATGATGGGCTGTGTCAGGTCTCATCCTCTCCACCCCTAACTCTTTCCTCACAAACAAGATTCCCTTGGCTTTGAGGTCCCAATATTGTCTTGTGGTTTCCCTGTATTCCCTTTTCCTGCGCATCAATGATGATGTCACCAGCAGCCAACCATGGTACCAGTTTTTCAATGAAATCATCAACCGCTTGACCTGCCTTCACAAAAAGTATGATCCTCCCAGGAGTCTTTAGCTTGAAGACCATCTCCTTCAAGTAGTGAGCACCAACCCCTTTTGTTCCCATTGCCTCATTGGTGAAGAAATCATCAAATTTGGAGACTCTCCTGCTAAAAACAAAGACCACAAAGCCATGGTCATTCATGTTCAAAACTAAGTTCTCGCTCATGATTGACAATCCAATCAGGGCAAGATCAGCTTGGGCCAAGGCCTCCATGTAGAAATGGCAGGAAACAGAGATGTACCT